CACAATGTATGTCCCCTCTGTTGCTTCAATCGGTACATCCAATTCCAAAGTCGCTGAAGTTGTTCCTCATACTTGACCAAAGCAGCAGAGCCGACTTCTGCTAGCTTTGCATCAATCCTGATTATATCCTTCATCTGGGAAGACCTTTCAAACAGAGGCCTGCTGTCTTCCACAATTCAATTGCTTTAATGACCTCTCCACAATTATTCAATATATCAGCAATTTGAACCATGCAATCTGCCCGCCAGTGATGGACATCCATGAATGTAAATCCATCTAGAGCAACGTTGAATAAGCTGAGTGCTGTTTCATCATCACCTTGGGCAGAAAAAATCTGGCCAAGGCATCGGAATGCTTGCATTGTCTGGTGCTTCTCTTTGGACTTCAATGCAAGTCCCAGGAAGATCCCAGTCCATCGCAGTGTAGTTGGAATGTCATTCATACCAGTGGAAAGATCTCCAAGCCTTTCAGCACATAGGAGTGTCAGGTCCTGCTGAATATCCAGAGAGGATACGAAACATTTTTCAAACATGGCATTTGCAAGACCAATAGCCCCATCACGAAGACAGAGTTCAGCAGTTGCAAGCTCAGCTACAAGACTCATATATCTTCCAATGTACCCATATAATGCCTTCAAATGAGACCAAGTGATGTCTAGATTTTGGTGAATGATTTTTGAGTCAGCACCAGTAGCAATATCAATGATAGCCATGTTCAAGTTTGCCAGGATTCCATCGTATGAAGTTGCCTGGCAGCTGGATATGATGGTGACTTGCAGCTTGCGCGATTCTAGATACTCAGATTTCATAAGGTGTATCTCAGCCTGGAGATTTAGGATGGAAAGATCCAATGCACTTTGTTGGTGACCGAGAGTAGCCAGGATGTGTCTGGATTTTTGCAGAAGATGTTGAGCATGCCGATAGTTTGCCAAATGTATGTGACTTTGTCCTTGAAGGCAGAGAGACGAAGCTTGTCCACGGATGTTCCCTATGTGTTCAGCATATGTATATGCCTCCTTGGCATATGTGAGTGCACTCAAGGACTTTCCAGTGTTTAGAAGAATGTCACATATGCTGGCCAAAGCATGGTAGCCAACAATGGTAGGGTATCCAGTACTTTCTGCCAGAGAATATGCTGTTTGATCATACTGCAGGGCTCCTGCAAAATCTAACTTTGCATAGTGGAAATACACCCCCAGAGCACAGTACCATCTGCCTGGTGATAAATTAGCTAGGTGAACACAGGGACCGTGATTGTGTCTTACTCTGTTCCAGTGGATCTTTTGATGTGAAATGCTGAGTGCCTAGGGTGATGTCACTATTTAAATCCAGGTCAGGCAAATTTTGCGAAGTTTCCAATAGCTCAATGAGATATTCCCCAAAGATTTGATTGTCTTTCCAATGCAGCATTTGCCCAGAAAGGTGGAGCAAAAGGGGTGAATATGTGTCTTGAACACGTTTATAGAAGTGATTGAGAAACAGGATGCTCCTCAAATTCTGGACAATATCAGGCCCCTCTGGTTCAAGCCCATCACGGAGAATGGTGTTGAAGTTGCCCAAATTTCCTGAAATTTGAGGGAGTATATCTGAGATTCCTGATTTGGTGCCAAAGATCAAGAATTTGATGGAAGTGTTCCCGTAGCTTTAGCTTCAAGGCATCTGCAGGAGGATGAATGCTAAGGATATGTTCTCGGATGGGAATCAGAACTTTGAGATGTTGATGCTGGTCAACAAAGGCAAGGGCTGTTTGAATCAGAGTAGCCTTGCAAGACAGAATATCAGGGATTGGCAGTTTGGCCTGCACCAAATCGGCATCTGCAAGCCCATCTGGTAGCATGGACAGAATACTGAGCAACTCCTGAGCACCTGGGGTCATATGGGAGCTGGTGTATGATAACATGATGGATATGTCCAGGCTTGATCTCTGGTCATACCCATCTGAAAGCATCCGAGTACTTTCCAATTTCCAATGAGAAAGTGCCTTGGCACATCCTTCAGCACTCGCAACACTTGCAATGAGGCTGACTGCCAGTGGAAGATTCCCTGTCAGTTCAAGGAGTTCTTTGATGCTGGCATCATCATGGCCATCATCAGCAACCTCAATGAAGGTCTGCCGAGCAGCCGCATTGGAAAGTGGCTTGAGAGGGGCCAAAAAAGGTCTGGTCCATTTGACTTTACTTGGGTGCTCAGCACCTCTCAGGGTGATCTACAGGAAGTTCAAGGTATGATTTGATAAACTTGCAAACATTACCCACCATGAGGCCCAACTGGGGGGCATCAGTCAGAAGAGATGGAAACTCTTCAACTTCAGAGCGACCTGAAAGGGCTTCCCATGGGGTCTCCAGATTATCGAGGACCAAAAGGGAAGGAGGAGCATGGACAAAATAATGTGCAACCTTCTTTGCCATGTTTGAGCCCTTCTCCAGCCCAATATGATCTGCAATTGTCGCTGCCAGCTCAGTGCAAGTGGGGCTTGAGTGGCATGGAACAAAGTATCGATGTGAATACTTGGCTTCCACATGTGGATTATGGAGGGCCACTGTGGCGAGGCTGGTCTTTCCCATGCCTCCTGTACCAAGAATAGCAATGTGGGCAGAATCCTGTATGAGAATGTTCACCACATCCTGCAGCTCTGATTCGCGGCCATGGAAGATTTGTGGGCAGGGTGGAAGTAGACCAAAAGATCCTGAGCTGTTCAAGACCTTTAGTAAGATTGATGGTGTTTGCAGGTTTGGCTCACCTATTATTCTTCAAACTTGCCAGAGTTCCTGCCATCTAACAACCATGAGCTACAAATTTCAATGGTCATACTTTGCTACTCACCGAGGAGCGGTCAGATGAAGAGTCTTTCTCCAAAAGGGCAACAAGCTCTTCATGTTGTTCCTTGGCATCCTTTTTCATTTGCCCCATTTGAGACAAGGTTGAACCTGTAACTTGAGCCTGCAAATGATTTGAATGTGCACTGAAACACATTTCATCTGATATACCTTGAACAATCCAACCATCCGATTGAGCTCTTGCTTGCATGTTTCCAATCTTTCTCCAGCCTCAGGCTGTCTGAAAAGTCCCTTTATTTTTCCTAGAGTGCCTTTTTGTTGCCCATTCAGAACCGTGAACACCTTTTCAAGTGCCCTGGCATAAAATATAAAATAAATACAATGTCATCATCAAGTGGGACTCACTCTGTGAATTTTGCAATGCCATACAGGAGTGCTGTTGGAAGGACACCCCTGATTTCTGAAGTTGAATTAAGCTGGACAATGATGCACAGGATTTCATGAATGTGCTCCATAATCTCAATGTATTCTTCCTTGTTTGATTTGGTTGTCTTTGTTTTGTTAAATATGGTGCCAATGGGTGGAGGCATCAGCTTACCTCGATACACTTTGTAATTGACAAGCACAAGGCAGCAGTTGAGCCAAGGAACGGCACTTTGGCTGTTTCTGCAATGTTTTGTGCAGTAGTTGCGGCCAGGGTGATATATTCGATAAGATTCTTGAAATTCGCTGTGGTAGGCATGGTGGGCATTGATGATGGGAGGTGTGTTCTTCAGCTGGGCTTATATATCTTTTGCTGTGTTCTTCCCACAGATACATACATTCCCAGCATCACATCATACATGCAGATATCGGTATCTGTTGATGTTCCACACTGAAAATAAACTGTATGTTTCAAATCAAATGTCACGAACAAAAGTGAAACACTTGGTGAACAACCATTCCATCATTATAAACATTCATTTCACCCCAAATTTAAGAACCCAGCTGACAAGGGAGCAATGGTCAATGTGTGGCAATCCACAGATGCTCCACAGCATCTGCGGGCTTAGCTTCTTGCGGGAGATGGAATCACAGCAGAAGGATCCCATCTCACCTCAGTGCACCAACTACAGCAACCCGCCGCAGAGCACTGCCAAGACCCAGAATAGAAAAGAGATTGTTATCCGCTCCCAAAATCGATCTGGTAATGATCTTTGCGGCCCGACCCGCTCTCACTGCATTGCCCAATGATTGTTCCTGTAACTACAGCTCGAAAACAATTTTCGCTCGTTCTCCGCCATCTCCCCATCGATTTGCCTGGTGTTTGGGGTCATTCTGACCAGAATTTCGAGCTGTGTTTAATAGATATTTGTTATATTCGTGATCGGATCACTATTTTGTTCAAACTCGTTCTCCGCGTGTTTGGGCTCATTCTGACTAGATTTGAGAGGATACCTTCAGAATACGAGTCGTCTGCAAGGTTAATACAACATACTCAATGGATACTTTCTTGAGAAGAAACACCTACCCCCAAAAAATGACACTGCCGGCGGGACATTTGTTGAGTGACATGCACCCAAGAAATTTAAAGACCCGCCACCCCCGCCCGCCATGGCTACACCGACCACATTGACATGGTGGTGAGGCGCAGGTTACGGAGGCGGGCCGTTGATCCGGGTTGCCAGGCTGCCGTGTCCAGATGCCGTGTCCTGCCGACGCCCTGTCCTGAGACTCGGCATCAGGACTCCTGCCGGATTAAGATCCACTCCATGTATTGTAGTCTACTCTTGCAGCTCTTGACAGCATTACAGATATCAATTCTGCGTTCTGAGGAATGCAATTCTAAATAAGTACCTGCAAACTGGGTGGAAGCGCCAAAAAGCAATGTCTGATCGTTGAAAATCGGTGTGAATTTTGAAGTTCTAATCGCTCAGTCTGCACGCAGGCCAGAAGACGCGTGGAAACCAGCACTAAAATTTGGCCACGCCTTAAATAGCTTGGAGGTGGATTTGAACGCGCCCACGCGGAGATGTAATTCAACATCCTTTGCTGTTAACTGAGGAATTAAATTGTAGTCTTTCTTGGAACAGAGCCAAAAGACCCATGTCGGATCTGCAGTGTACTTATAATGCCTACAGTGTATTGAGTCCCTTCGCCAACGCAGCTGCAGTGTCTGAAACGTAAAATAATATTTGTTAGCTTTTTTGAGTTGTTAGCCTTTTTGTTCTTCAAACACAAAGTAGATCCCATAGCTCAGTGGTAGAGTGCCTGATTCCAGAGGTTGGACCGTCTCCAGGTGGTCATCCGTTCAATCCGGGTTGGGATCATTTTTTCTCTTTTTACTTGAGCTCCGTTTGGTTATTTCGACCGAAGGTTCATGTGACGGGTGACGGACCGCCGTGAACTGAACAATTGGCTGGTGACGGTTACAATTGCTCTGTGAATACCTCTCAAGATCTCAAGAAAGGCTCTAAAATCGATTTTTGAGCTACGTAAATTTGACAGAAAAAATGGCAAAGTATGCGAAATAAAAATTAGTGCTCCATCCAAGCAGGGCCCTGGTAGCGCCTGGCTATGATCTTCTTGCGCTGTCCCCGGCCTCGGAGAGCGTCATTTTCCGATTCAGCATCAGATTTGTAGATGACCTTCGCTTCTGGGATGGAGATACCGCAATCCGAGTACCAAGTCTTTATTCATAGGTGCGGGAGTGGCCATACTGAAAAACTGAGGAGGATGAGCATCAAGGGCGATAGGACCCTCGAGTGGGAGCTGAAATTCGAGTATTTTTGCGATCGACAGCATCGGCATCGAGAGAATTTCGCCTTCTATTTCTTGCGGAAGGGAATATATCTCCGTGGCGACTTTGCGGACCAGAGGACCAGAGCTTGACTTGAGCAAGCCATTCGCTTTTTTTGAAGGGTGTGGCAGCCATTTTTTCGTTGAGAGGACGAAAGGTAGAGGACTTGCCGGTATCTTTTACTTTCTATTGCGCAATCTCACATAATAATTTAATTCCGTCCGTTTTCCTCCGCATATTGATCTTTGTTGGTCAATTCTACTTCGCGTACTCGAGAAAGTGCAGTAGAATAATACGCGAGCTATAAAGTCGCAAAGTGTGTTGATTCTCTCCGAGATTTGTTGACCTGCTGTTGCTTGCTTACGGTGACATCCGGGTTATGAACGCCAAGGCCAGTGAACACCTTGTGACATGGCGTGAATCTTTAGTCGAAATAGTACGGTATTTGACTGCGGTGAGCTGCTCAAGAGTCTCGAGTTCTGCGAGAATTTGTTCACTTCGGGACATGGCGGTAAGCGAGTTTTCATTTTGCAACATCGGGAACGTCATAATAACAAGACCCATTTTGTCGAAATTATATTTTTGGCGAGGGCAAACAAAGCATCTACTCCAGTTCGTCAAGATTGAGCACGGCCCACTCGCCGTCTGGAACGCCTACCCGCCTAGCAACTAGGTTTGCTCTCCTCCGGCGACACGGTCTGTAGCATGTGCTCGCAAACGGCGGGGCATCTGGTCATCCGTTCAATCCGGGCTGAGATCATGTTTTCGTTTTATTCACTGGATTCCGCCACTCAGTACTCAATCCGGGTTGGGATCATGTTTTTTGTTTTATTTTCACTGAATTCCGCCACGGCATCAGGTCATCCGTTCAATCCGGGCAGGGATCATGTTTTTTTTTTTTTTTTTTCGCTTGGATTCAGGCCTAATTCCGTTGAATTCCGGCAGAGATCAGTTTCCCTGGTTTTGACTTGGACTCGATGCTATCAGTCTTTTCTATTTTATTTCGCGGATTGCATCTATTATTACTAGTCCTCATTATCGCGTATCTTCTTGTATAGATTAATGATAAGGTCGTTAACGGTCAGCGTTATTATTCTAGGCAAGACTCAGCCGCTGTGAAATGTTGGGACACTGGAGACGCACGTATGTGGTGCAATTCGCAAAAAATGCGCCGTCGAGCCTGTGGGTTGGTTAGATCTGCTCACAACTAACAGCACGGAGCTAACCCTTATACCAGCCCCGCACGCCCTCGGTCTGCACCGTCTTCCACAGGCAGTCTATTGGGTTCTTGTATAATGCACCCACCATTCTACCATTCGGCCCCATCGTCGTGGGCTGATTGTACATCCGGGTCAACGCCTGGCAGGAAATTAGTTACCTATTAGCCTGGTCAAAATGACCTACAGTGTCCGCCGGCTGCATCACCAGACACTGCGAACATGATTAGCCAATTTAGGCGTTGAACAAATCCGACGTACCACACAAATACCAGATACCGAGCTACTCGCCAGGAACGTCCATGTGCTGTTGGCGGGAAGAATACCCCGGTTCACCAAAAAGTTTTTGGTTAAATTGTAACTCGGTAGTTGAACCGAGGAGCCCATGGACGTTCGCAGAATCGCGGCGTCTATGCCGCGAACGAGACCACGCAATCCTTCCGCGCGAAATATCGTAGACAGTGCGTTGAAGGAGTTTTTATAATAGTGCTGGGCACCGACCGGCAGAGCAGGAGAGTAGGCCTGCATTCTGGCTTTGATTAAAAACAGAGGGTTTCCCAGCGAGGCTTGCATATATTTATCAGCGTTCCAAGTTGCGCCAAAGCGAGGAGGGCCGACCTCCAACAGCCCCACTAGTCGCTCCAGCAATAACAGCGGTCACGGGAAACTGCTCATCTGGATTTCGTCCAATTAAAGAGTTGAGATTGCGCCGAAACGGTTCATAGAATCCTGGACGCATATTTAACGAGTCCAAAAAAAAGAAGGGTGCAACACTGTACCCAAGCGCGACCCATTTAAAAGCATCTACAAGACGCATTATGGATAAAGTCAAAAATGAAAAACACATACGCACTTGGTAAACATACTGGAGGTTGCATCAGACAAAAAAAGGGCATGCAGGAAACGAAATAACGTGCCGCAGGACCGAGACCTCTCTGAATCCCTCTAACGCCCTCATTCCGGTACGTCTTGGCCAGGACATCGAATGCGTTGTTGTACACCTTCTTTGTGCCGGTTTTTGCAAGCTCGCCTTGCAGCTGCAGTCGTGTTTTGGCGACTTCGGCTGGATTAGACACGGTGACCTAGTAGCTCCAGTCAGTTTCCGAGAGTTGCCTCGTAAAATTTATGCTGACGGCAGTACATGCTGCGACTCCCCCGCATAGAAAGCCCTCCAAGGTCGAGAGTGGGGCAGTCATTGTCTTTTTCCGCAAACCACTACGCGCACCGGAGGAGGATGTTACTAAACGGATCGGCCGCGCGTGCGTCTTTGATCGGCCCAGAGTCCGATCGCCATTCATTGATGCATTCATGAACTACCCGTTTGGCGCGCGGACGGTAGTGCTTGTGGCAGTTCTGGCCGTCGTTTTGCCTGCTATTTTTCGCATCGTATCCTCCCCCCTCACCCTCCTCCTCATCTCTCCCTTTGTCCTCGGTCTCCTGGGCATAGCCTTCCTGGTCTTGAATGTCCTCGTCAGTCATCTCCTCGACAACAAACTCCCTGCGGCGAAGAACAATCTCCGTTATGCAGCAAGACCTTTCGTCTTCTCTACCCCCGCGGCATGGCAGGCCGTCTTGACGAGATCCCAATGGTCGCAGGACAGCCCACAGTCCTTTCCACCCCTCGTACCGGATGCACCAGTGCTATCAGGCGCAATAAATGACATTCTTATCATGATTGTCAGAGACTTTGTGCTCGTATGGTACAAGGACCTGTCCACGTCTCCCTCCTTCCCAGTCGCTGTCTCGTCCGTGCTACACAAGTCACTCGAGAATGTGCTTGACCGAGCTGCCGCAATCGACCTCTCGGAGCTGGTCGTTAAGCGGATCCTCCCAAAAGTCACTGCACATATCGAGCAGTTCCGTCAGTCCGAGGTCGCTCTGCGCGGAGCAGGCTTGGAACGGCGGTTGACACAGTCGGAGGAGCTTGACCTGCTTCTCGCGAGTCGATATACAAGCAAGGGTGGAGGCAAGTTGCATCCCTCGGTCGACAATCTTTCTACCACATTCACCAAACAAACGGAGGAGGCGCATCTACGTCAACTAGTGGAAAGGGCGCTCCCTTTTGTCCTGCCCGAGAAAGAGGGTAGGAGCAAGGTCGTGAAATTAGTAGTACGCGAGATCGTAGCATGCGCAGTACTATACCCTGTGATGGAAATGGTGTCCGACCCCGACTTCTGGAACAAGGCAATTGACCAAGTGGTGGGTAATCCGAGCCTTCCTCAATTAGCCAATCTGACCATTCGAGATTAGGCTGGTGCGGCAATACACGAACAGTGCGTTTTGTGTACAATTTCGTGCTCAAAGCTAACCGGTAGCTAGGAAATTGATTACAAAAGTACGGAGTGTGCTTGAGGCCCAGTCACCCCGGCCACATCGTTTGTCATCCGCACCAGTCACTGCCCTACCACCCACCGAGACGACCATAACAATCCGGACCGATGGCCGACAGTTCGAGTCTTTCCTACGTAGTATCAACCGATGTTCGTCACTTTTGGATGCCCGACGGCTCAAGAACGACGTCGTGGGCGAGATTAGGAGGACTCGGATATCTCTAGGTAAATGGTTTCAGGCTCTCAACAAGACATACGCTAACCGGGTCTAGCCAATCATGAAAAGGAAGACTGGATCAACGGAGAGAAAACCGAAGACGTCGTAGCTTTTCTGGACAGGCTGTATACGGCCAAAAGAAAAGTCGAAGAAAGAATTGTCGTGCTCGGTGGCGGTGATAACTCGGTACGAGGCTGAGCCTTTTCGATACGGCAATATATCAACTACATCCCACAGGAACGACAATCGTCATACCAGGAACCTGGCCCCAAGTCGGGTTTGGCTTTACGCGATGTCTTGCAAAACCCCAGTTCACTTTCATACTTTATGGAGTTTATGGATCGCCGGCATCGGTCTTTGCTTGTGCAGTTTTGGCTCACCGTCGAAACCTTCAAGAATCCATTGGAGTCGGTGGATTCAAGTTCATCTGGTGACGAGGACGAACACATCCAGGATGTTTCCACTTCCGTTACCGTCCGGGAGGATATTTCCATGATTCACGATCTTTATTTTTCGACTCCGACACCACACCCTACACTTGCTTCAATACCAAAGAAGCACGTCCAGAGAATTCGGGACTTTGCAACCAGCGAACTACCTCCCTCACCTGCCACGCAACGGACTGTGCGGAGAAGTGTAATGTTGGCTCAGAGGCAGGTGGAACGGGATATGGAACATGATTTTGAGGAGTTTGAGAGATCTGAGCTCTGGTTTAGAGCGATAGGCGACACCGATTTCGGGCGGAAAAACTCAGCAGACGAAGAAC